GTGATGTAGAAAAGCGACAGCGGTCATGTCGTATGATTATACGGCATGTAAGAGATCCCTAGAATGCCTGTTGTGCTTGAGTGATCTCGGTAAATTTAAATCCCAGTACAGGTTCACATCGTCAGAGCCCAGTTGTCTCTCTGGGGAGGAAACTGGGCGTCAAAATCACCTGCGGTGATTGGTATCCGCCTATATGGTGCCCGCACTAAAAAGAGATACCAGTTTCCGGGGAATGTACAAGGTCTGCAAATTGAAAGACTCCAATACGCTGCCCATTAGAAATAAAAAAAATATTATTTATAGAAAAGATAACAAAAGAAAGAGAAAATAAATTTCTATATTTTGGAATAGTTTAAATGATCAAAGAAAATTTAATCCAAGATTTATACAAGAGTAAGTTACACCAAACAGAAAAATACTATATATGCTTACAGATAGAAAACGAAATATTACAATACTATAAGTGATACACAAATCAAAATTGTTTTTTTATCGATTTATAAAATAGGTTCGACTCTTATTTTATTTTAAACTTTGGAAACTCGATGTTAAATTCAAAAATTAACTTCATTCCCATTGGCATGCAAAAGATATCTTACTCAAGTAAGAGTCTTCTAAATATTTTAACACAAAAACAAGCAAGCGTTTTGTTTCTCGATTCGTCCTGGATAAGAAATTGTAATGTGTGCAATTTAAAATTCTAACAAAACACTAGATAAAATAAATGAAAAGGAGACACCTGCCAAACTCTTAACTCGAAAAAAGAAACATTTCTTTTTAAAACAAACGATATCAAGTCGAACATAAGCAGCACAACTCAACTCCACTTGGAAATAAATACCGTGATAAACCTACCGAAATGTTTCGGCTGGTGGAACTCGGGAAAATGAAATGTGTGGAGAATTGAAATTCCAGACAAATACTCGCTCCAATAACTTTACTACCGAATTTTTCTAAATCTTTTGGCACCTTCAGGAAATTTTTTTTGTCTTTCGGTAAATTCAGCTATCTGTAACTCCTAACCTGAAATAATGAAACACTGTTCTTTTTTTTTTATAAAAGGAAACAATTTTCAGATATCTTTTCTTTGTTCAAAAATTCATTTTGAATAATATTGTTTCCGGTGTTTACTTCTTTCCACCTTATTTGATTTATTTTAACTTAAACTTTGAAATAGTTTTGCTCAGCGAAATTGTAAATAATTTAGCTGCTTTATTTAATTCTATATGATAAGGCATAGAATATTTCATTTTTAGCACCGAGTGCGTTGTTGGAAGTCATATTTAAAACGGGATAAATTAAGTTTTTTAGGTGAAAAGGTATTTTCTTTTGTTTCTTGGATATTTTTTAAGTTTTATGACAGCACACGATTCAGAAAAAAATACAGTAGCTTAAGTTGGTGATCTTATTGATTCGAATGGATGTACGTATCTTCAAAATACAAATACTAAAAACAGTTCTTCAAATTAAAACAAGAGTTAATTGATGTTTTACTGATGATACACAGCAAAGTAAAACGAGGACTGTTGGCGAGGGATGGCACAATTTAGAATTTTGTAGTCAAGTGACGAGGACGATACCCGAGTTGGAACACAACTCTTTTAAACAAACCTTTCAACTTCCAAGCCACGTCAAGTTAAAATCTTGGAGATTGGACAGATTTTACGTTCACCATTCCCTGAGCATGGCGGATTTTCAGAAGCAAAGGGATTCAAACCTATGACTAGAAACAACGCCACTACAAGTTCTCGACCGCGAATGTTCGTCCAGCATGGTTGAAAAGGAATAAAATATTTGTTCTTATTTTCCAGATATATTTAAATCTTTATTTAAAGTTTAATGTTTTATGAAGGTATTCAAATTACTTTTTCAAAACAAGTTATATAAGTGTACACGAGAACAGTTGAACGCAAGAAAGAATTTTGATTAGTTTTTTTTATTAGCGTTTTACTTCGAAGGATATTGATAACGAGCCTTGTAATTTTGAACCTCGGCCAAGGGACGCAGATAACAACTGAGTATGTAAGGCATTCTTTTAACTTCAGGATTCACAGGATTCACCACCAAATGACGAATCACTCATAGGATTGATCATTAGATTGGGGACCATTCACAGGATTCACCATTAATAACTGACCACTGGATGAACCACTCATAGAATAGATCCCCGGAGGGTGAACCACTCATAGAATAGATCCCCGGAGGGTGAACCACTCATAGAAAAAAAAATAAATAGATCCCCGGAGGGTGAACCACTCATAGAATAGATCCCCGGAGGGTGAACCACTCATAGAATAGATCCCCGGAGGGTGAACCACTCATAGAATAGATCCCCGGAGGGTGAACCACTCATAGAATAGATCCGGAGGGTGAACCACTCATAGAATAGATCCCGGAGGGTGAACCACTCATAGAATAGATCCCGGAGGGTGAACCACTCATAGAATAGATCCCCGGAGGGTGAACCACTCATAGAATAGACGGTGAACCACTCATAGAGATAGAGGTGAACCACTCATAGAATAGATCACTAGACGGTGAACCACTCATAGAATAGATCCCCGGAGGGTGAACCACTCATAGAATTGATCACTAGACGGTGAACCACTCATAGAATTGATCACTAGACGGTGAACCACTCATAGAATTGATCACTAGACGGTGAACCACTCATAGAATTGATCACTAGACGGTGAACCACTCATAGAATTGATCACTAGACGGTGAACCACTCATAGAATTGACCACTAGACGGTGAACCACTCATAAGATTGACCACTAGAAGGTGAACCACTCATAAGATTGACCACTATATGGTGAACCACTCATAAGATTGACCACTATATGGTGAACCACTCATAAGATTGACCATCAGATGATTAAATACTACAACCATATATATTGTTATTCGTTTACATCTGTTTACATTTCCATATCACTGAAAGGAACTTCACGAAAAGCAAGAAGCTGGAAATCCAAAGAAATATAAGTAAAAAGAATGCCGCCAATTTAACATGGTTGCCAATTCTCATTTTGAAATCTCACGAAATACACCGGCAAAAGTCGCTGAACTGAGAATTTCGCTGGAAGTAGTAACTAAAATTTTATAAAAAAGTAATCCGTATCCCATAATACGTTTAGTTATTCCCCATTTTAGAAACTGAATCTTCATGAAATATAAATTATACATCCCAATCAGTGGTGCTCCTGGGTCCGGACCCCCTTCCTATAGCCCTCGATTTTTTTTCAATTAATTATAACCCTATGTGTACATAGTAGGAAAAATTTATAAATACTTGTTAATAACAATTAATGTTAATTATTTAATGAGTAATTAGCATTAATTAATAATTTTACATTGTTTTTTGCTCCCGAAAATTGACAAAATCAGAAGTTTGTTGGGCCGCGTATTGGAGCATGATAACGAGAATAATGAATTTTCGAGCCTGGACCCTCTCCTTCAAAAATTCCTGTACACGTACTCTAATCCCAATCTTTCTGCAAAACTACAAAAAATTTTCACCGGTTGGTAACCACTGCTCCAAACGGCGTGGCTTCAATGGCACCTGGATTCGAAACCAACCGAATTTGGCTACAGCGGCGAGATATAAGAAATAATAATGTACATGTTACTTAATAAAACACACACACACAAAGTCGAAATTAAGAACCTACTAAATTAGGATCGAAATTAATTGTGTATCGAATTACAAATGACATTTTTTGTCTCTAACAACAAAGAACCACATATAGAAGTGTTAAATATCAACGACTCTAACAATATTTTAGTTACTTATCTACATGTTTCATTGTAAAAACCGTATTCTATTTTCACCCATCGCTTTCCACTTTCAGGGATGGATCTTGCCCATCACGATAACGATTTCCAATTCTTTGAATAATCGATTCTCAAACAATCGAATCGTAAATTCCTTTCTTCATTTTTCCTTAAATAGAAAGAATTCTTTGTTCTCACACGTAAGGTTTTATCCGATGGAATGTGGATCAGCTTTTTTCAATTCCTATTATTAGATCACTCTCTCCCTATATATGTATATATATTCATATATATTCTTCAAATTTTCAATCGTGAACAAAATGTATTCTATTCATCCATTCGAATTCAAATAAACTTTAAACTTGTAGCGGATGACACTTGATGTTAACACAATGTTAAAATTTCAATTGGTTAATTAAATTAAAAAATGAATAAATAGTAACAAACAAAAATAATAGTCCAACAATATATGTAGAAAGGAAAACCGTTCGTTGTGTCCCTGTAGTGCAAAGGATAGCGTGTTGGACTTCTAATCCAAAGGTCGTGGATTCCAAACCCACCTGGGATGGCCTAAATTCTGAAAATGTAATTTCCTTTCTACTATACTATTTTATTGGAATAATTAAATTTAATTAATATATAAGTAGTAAGAAACAAAAAAGAATAGTTGAACATCCTAAATAGAAAGGAAAATGGAAAGTTGCAAGGAAAATCGCTTTCTATTTTTTCACTTTATAGTGTTATTCTGTCATATATGCATATACATATTTATATTAATTGTGACTACATAATAAAAAAAAATTAAATTAGTTTTTTTCTTTGTTGACCAAAGTAGGAATTGTGTGTGACTTTATATATTACTTGTTATAACATTTGCATTAATCCAATCACGAATTTTTAACCCCTGCTTCTCACTTGCATTCCATCGTTACGATTTATTTTTTGTATGCACACAAGTGTTTATTTTTCACTGATATATTCTACAAAGTGTCGCCCATCCGGTATAGTGGTTAGCGACCCTGGCTGCTGTGCCGTAGGGCCTGGGTTTGAATCCCGGAGAAGACATGGATGTTTGTAAATGTATAGTGCCTTTGCGGCATGGGGGTACTCTAAATAGCCGTCGAGCCGCAAGTCCTCTGGTGTGGTTGGTGGAATGGGAAGAGAGGTGGGAAACCCCTGACCACTCCCAGGGTGTTCTCCCTCAAAATTGGTGTGGAACCAAGCCAAAACGTACTGTCACCAGCATGGTGCTCAAAGCTACGGCTAACGACAGGCGTACAATATAGCTCGATGCCATGATGAATTTCGTGGGCCTCGATCTGGCTACGTCATACAGGTGGCATTAGCAACAACAACAACAAAGTAAAACAATATTTTTTGTGTGATCTGATAAATATAAAAGTTTTATTATATAAATTTATTTTATTTTTATTTCTTTTGTTTTATATCATTAAGAGGACATACTGAAAATTTAATTTTTTCCCAATGTAGGAGGTTTGACCCAAACCAAATCGATTCTAAAACCAACAGCAATCTCTCTTTTTTTATAATTCAATGATTATCAAGAAAAAAGGTTTTGTAAAACTGCTGGCTGTTTTGCACAGTTATAAAAAAAAAATAAGTAGAGGAAAATTGATAAAAGATGTTCCATTCAGTTTGTTTTATCAAGAAAACAATTTCAAGCGATAAAAAAAATTTGAGATGTTATTCACGTCGAAAGTCTCTGGAGACAGTGTTTTATATAGATTCTCTTTTTAAACTTTTAATATTGAATGCTAAATGTACATTTGTGGACATGAGAAAGTACATTTGTGGTCTGAGAAGCTAAAGTTGTTGCCAAATTGCCTCAAAACGTTTTTCGCAAGAGTTCAGATAAAAAGCCCGCTGAAGGTGGAATTGTTCTTCTGTATAGAGGGTGTTAATTTTCATAGATTTTGATGTAGTGTTAATTTTTTAAATTCTTGATCTCTCAGTCCAATTAGAAAAATTATTAATCTATGCAACGAAATATTTTATAAATACAACTTATTTCTAAATACAAAAGCATTGATACTTTTTATTATGCATGTAAGGCAATGTGTCAGAATTCAAAATTAAGATATGTATTGGGATTTAAGAAAATCGCCTTTTTCTTAAGGTCTTCATGTAAAAAAGTAAATACCTACAGCTTTATTTCAATTTATGCAGCTGTCTTAAATATCATGTGGAATATTAGAGAACTAATTCATAGCTTTGAACCGCTGGCACGTACCTCTCCAAGCTTCCACGCCACACTAGCTAGATGACTTTGAAACTCAACAGCTTTTAACCTGGCATTCCCCAAGCGGGAAGTGAACGGAATTTCACGTGCAGTGTATGTCATACCCATGGGTGTTTACATTCTGTTTCTACATACAAAGATGGAAAAGGAAGAAATGTAAGAAATACAATAATTTGATTACACTTTTTACACGTAAATTTAATTTTTCCATTTTTTTTTATTAAGGCATTCAATACATTGTTTATACGCTCCTTTAGTCTTCGTCGCGAGTAAAAATGCGGGAATTTTCACCGGATCTTAATTTTTTTTAAAATTTCGTAGAAGCATTGTTTGGTGGTTTCTTCTATTCTTCTGTAAATCGAAATCCAAAACACTTCAGAAATCCGCGTCTGGTTCGATGTTTAGTAGGTGGTTTCCGAGTGCTTAACAAATAATTTGCATATTTATTGCCGCAACGTTCCACAACACAAAAAACAGTCTCATAGGCGAACGATTACATTTTCTGGCCATTGAATATGATGCAGTCAGTTTACTAAGGACGATAATTGCTCGTTCGGTTAAAATATCTGGATCGATTTCAGTAGAAGAATCATAATTGCAATTATACTCTTCATCATTCGATTCTTCTCATCAGCCCCGTGAAGAGACTTTCTTCATTCAAAAATACTGTTGTTCTTTTTCTCTATTTACTGTATCTATTAAATTACTTGAATATCATATTTCTTTATCATTACTACAATAATGCGCTATAACATAAGATTTTAAAGCGTGATCATGCATTTAGAGCTGTAACGGCGATTCTCGCTCAAGGCATGACATACCCGAAGAAGCGGTATCCAAAAATATATCTTTAAAAATCACCAACAAGCCAAGGTACCTCAAAGGATATGAACTTAAGTTATCCGATTACCCTAAAACTGTGAATTTTGGCAAAAATTGGCAAATTTTTTATGGTTTTATTTTATGGGCCATCTTATTAGCTTTATAAAAATACCAAGTTTATCATTTTCCGTTCACTAGAACAAAAACTACAAGTGTTTCAGTAAAAGCAGATGCCATTACTTTAAGCAAGATGGCATGCTTTAAAACGCGTTTTACTCGAAATGTGACTTTTTGAAAAATAATCAAAAGGGGTCAGCGATTGATAAAAAAAGTTTTGAACATAACTGAAATTTTTTCTGTAAGTTCTGTATAATAGTAGAATTGTTTTAACCTTCTGATTTATCAATCACTGTTTTATTACAAAATTTACAATCCCTTATGTGAATATAATCACTGTCTTTTTAAGCATTTTCATATAGTAACCGAGATAAAGTGCTCTAGCTTTTGTAAAAAAGAAATCTCTTATCCTGAAGGTCATTTCAAAATTGAATAATATACAACACATTAATTAGATCGAAAAAATTGAAAATTTGTTCATAAACCTTTGGTGCAGAATGGCCCGCGTTTACACTATTTTTTGTCAATTTTTCCCTATTTTTTCCCATTTTAGCAAAAATAATTTCTTTTTCTCTTCTTAATTTTAACACATTTTTCTTAAAATGCACTAAACAAATCTAAAAATGACAACAAAAAAAAATCCCCATATCTCCTTTAAAAAAAAGTTGTCGCAACCAGTCGGATACCTAAAGTCAGCTACACGATAAACTACTTGTATTTTCATTATTCAAAAAATGTTTAGATGGAATCTTGAAAAAAGTTAGGCAGTGGGTATGACATACTCCAAGCGTGAAGTGCCGGATTAAGTGCGTCAGCCCCTCACCCCGTGCTGAGGGTATTGAGAGTGGCCAGGATTCGAACTCACAATTTGACTGAAACATCGATCCCGAATTTGAGACCATTGCCACTTCGCTAACATCTCCTAGGAAAACGTTTAATTTGTTATCAAATTAAAGGTAGATCAAAGAATAAGGAATTTGTTAAATACGCCCGCGTCTATAGATATATTTACGAAATCATTATCAACATTCTATTTCATGTTTGAATGAGTGAGTGAGTAAGGGAATATTAACGTCGCACTGTTCAGCTACACGAGGGCTATTGGCGACGGACCTCGTAATTTTGATCCACAACCAAGTGATGAGGACGACACCTGAGGTGTGGCACTTTCCTCTTCCAACTACCACTCCAACGTTTGAGCTTTTGACAGATTTAACGCGCATTGCTCACCTTTCTTAGTGGAACTGGGCTCGAACTCATGATATGCCATCCACGGGTCCGTTACCTTGACTACTTGGCTAACGAGACCTTTTTATTGACGTCGCATTTGTAAGCAACGAAAGGGCTACCAGAAATATATCGCAATACAACGATAGCACTTTTTTATGTTAATGCTTTTGAATCGCATTTTATTATCTAAGCAAGTTTAAAAAAATTAAGTAATTTTCATATTTTGGAATAACTTTCACCGTTTTAAAAATAATTACTCAGCCGAATTTCCAATGCCCTATTATCTTAAATATTTCAACTTATATTTCATCTATTTAGATAGTAAAGGCAATTGGTGAACTTTATGAGGACTGATATTCTGGGTAAACCTTATTGTTCGGAGAATCGAATTGGAAATACCAATAAAAGTTTGGTAGTTGTTTTCAAGATTGGAAAAAATTAACAAAGAATTAATATTCGGAAAGGTACTGCCTTTTCGTACGAATAAAAGAAAAAGTAATACGCTTTCGTTCAACTTCTTTCATGAGTATTTGAATGAATAGATAGCTACAATATATATAATGTGGGTCTGCATTTCTGATTTTTAACGAACCTCCAGTGAGAGAGAAAAGCATTCAAGCAGACTCAAGTTTCTTTTATAGACATAAAATGCAACTGGGTCTATATCAGTTTTAAAAGTTTTATATTGTTACGTAGATCGGAGTTCGAGGATTTTATGCAAAATCAGTTGTAAACAACGAGACAGTTCTTTAACAGCGATGATAATTTATTGTCGAAAATCAATCCTTGAAGCACAGGATTCAACAGCAAAATTCGCGGAATAAATATCAAAAGGATTTCTCACCTTCAACAGCACTTAGACACAATTATCAGTATGTAAAAATACACGTATATATAAGCTTATTCACAAGCACAGCCGAGCTAATCACGATCAAGGCAAGTTCCCTAATCGCTAGTCAAAACCAGACTCGCTACTCACTGGTTGAAACCAGACTGACTTTTGCTGTGAGTGTCGCTTTATTTATAGCCGGGGCCGAAACTTCTGAAAAGATGCGCTCACGTCATAGATCGTGAAAATAGTGGATTTCTCTACTAATTTCTAGAAGAATCCAGAAGGTCCCGAACTCACCAACATGGTG